CCTGGTCAGATGTTTCGCTAAGGAGTACCCTTTGGGAGGAGCCGTCTGAGTTTGATATTCTAGCAGTCTTTTTTGTTCTGGCCATCACGTTCTGCATAGACACAGATTCAGTCGGACTTTGTATAAAGGGCAAAGATGGGTCCAGAAAAGGGCAGGCGGCACTCCTAGTCCTAGATTCAGCCGTCCCCGGTGACCGGCTGATCACTAACTTAGGGCGTGTCGTGTGCTTCCATGGTGCCATTTCAAAAAATAAAAAGAAAATTAAGAGTAAGAGAACTGAGTTACCTGAATGGATGACAGTTGATGAAGTCCTGGAAGTTCGGGTCAGTCGGCTTGTCAGAACAGGCGGTAGGCAGAAAAAGTCCGAAAATGTCAGAGCAAGTTCAGGGTCCGAATGTTCTCGCAAAAATTCTCAAATGTGAAAATGACCGAAGTCAGCACTTCCTTTTATAGGCAAAATGAGAAGGCGAAGGGTCGCTTCCGAATTCAAATTTGGGCGGGAGAATCTCCCGGCCGTCTGCAAGGTGACACCTGTAACGGGCCGTCGCCTGTCACCGTGCGACGCCTGTCTCAGGCGACACGTGACCAGTCGCGTGCCACCTGTGAGGGGCAAATGATTAGGGGATTTTTATCCACCAAGCACCGTTTGACAAGTGGACCAACCAGGTTCCGCCACGCGTCCTCCACGGACCACTTAAGACACGCCACGTGTCCACCCATGCCAAATGGGACAACCGGCCATCAAGGCCCATTTCAGTCTAGAAGCCCGTTCGGCCCTAGGTTTACCTTAAACCTAGAGAGTTGCACGCTTCCCAAGGCTATAAATACTCGATTAATCCTCATTAATCAGGGGACCGAATAATTGACGGAACACACTAATAACCGGCTGATCTCGCTAGCAAAGCAGATTACCTACATTAAATACTCTCACCTAGAGAGACCTAATTACTTTAATTTCTGTATTAACTACTCCTTAATCAGGTACTAACTTGACCGTTGGAGGCGGAGCTCTCAGGAGTCTCCGTTATTTTGCAGGTACAGGCGTCCGGTTCCAGTCTCGGAATTGTAACTCTCCCGCAGGACATCAGAAAACCCCGAAACAACACCAATCCCTTGACAATGCCTATGTCAAATCCCCGAACTTCACATCATCAAGCTAACCTGTGCAATACTGCTCCCCAATAATACAAGTGTAATAATTGGATCATCACAGGGTCATTGAAAGGCGAAGGCCATGACCAAAAGAAAACACACAAAAGCACGCAATCAGCAAAGCTGAGTACATACAAGCTACAACGCACAAAACCTGACATGCTCAACTAATTAAAGTAAATAAACATATAACTTGAATTCATTAATCAAGACTCCACACTTAAACAATTCAATTGGCTCAACATACTTTTTAACCAATTCTAAACACTCGACTCTTTATATTTAATTTAATTAATTTAGTTTGGAGTAAGCAATAGACGAGGTTGTCCATTCCACCAAATCATTTTGGTCCCAAATGACCATTTAAAATAAAAGTTTAGCGCGATGCAAGAATGGGCGCGACTCCATTCTCACAAAGTTAGTCAGGATCCCATCTAACTTTCATTATAAAAATAAAATGTAAATACCAAAAGAAAAGAGGACATGTTGATCAAACAAGCCTCGGAAAGCCACGGGCTACCACCGTGTACCCCAACCCATAATTGTCAATACTCCAGAAGTGCACGCTTTCCAGAGTTTTATTGCTCATCCATGTTTCACTTTACGTGATTACAATTTTAATTAATAGCCGATTCAATCAAATAGACCATACATAAAAATCATACATCAATTTACTTTTAATCTTATTTAGGACAATGGTGATCACATCACAAATTGACCTTTAATTTCATTAAACTTCCAAATTATCCAAATTGTTGAACATAGTCAACCCACCTAGCCATTTCGGCTTAATCCACTTTTACTCAACATACTAACAAGTCATGCTTGATTTATAAATAAAATAAATAACAACCTTGTGGAATAATTAATAAATTCATTCCACTTAAACCATTCAATTCCAATCCTTTAATAATCCAAATGTGGTTAACAAACCAATCCAATAAAATTATGCTTGTATCAACATTCCATACAAACAATTAATCCAATATAATTCAACATGTTTGCATCCATAATTCCATACAAACATAATCAATTCACCAAAACATGTCTCATAAACATAAGCACATGAATTAATTAAATGTATAACCAAACAATTTTCATCCAAGTGTTCTCTAATCATGAAACTAAGTTCTTTTCTTTGGTACCTAAACATGATACTACTTACAACGAAGTAGACATGTACGTACCTCGTATAAACAATTCGGTTGACCACTTAAAAACTTGAAATCACCTTCAATAAACTCCTCTCCTAAACCAAACAATAACATCTCAATCAATACCCAATCAATCAAATTTACAGCAATACTAACTTACTTTAAAACCTTCAAAATCCAAATCAAACAACACTTTAAAACCTTCCCTTTAGTTTAAAATTAAAGGCTTATATATAGTTCTTTAAATTTTATTCATAAAAACATTAAAATACACTCTTATACATGAAATTACAACAAGTTTAAAGTCTAATAAAAATCAGAAAATTATTTTAAAACCCCTAATAATCTCCCTTTTTAATGGGTGATTAAACCCTCTTTATAAAACATCAAAAGTAGTACTTAGAAACTATTTTCAACACTTAAAAATTCAATAAAAACATATATTTATGCTTAATTAACTTTAAACATAATTAATTTTATTAATCAAACTCAAGGATAATATTTTAAGTATAAAAAAACTTCGTTAAAATCAAAAATTGCCCGAAAATCATATTTAAGGATAATATTTTAAGTATAAAAAACTTCGTTAAAATCAAAAACTGCCCAAAAATCATATTTAGAGGCTGAATTTGGCCACGAGAGGGTGGTGCTCACTACCAAAGGTAATGAGTCTTTCTTAAAACGTTGTTTCCACAAGGAAAACACTACTTTTTTGTCAAAATCGGATGAGTTTAGAACCCGATCGAGATTAAAACGGGATTAATATTAATGAAAGGAAATCTTAAAATTAAAACACGAATTTAAGTGTTTAAAATAATCTGGAATTAAGTTAAACTAATCAGTAGTTATAATCACCAAAATTTCAAAACATCATTACTATAAAAGCCCTAAATCAATTGTTCATAAAAACCCTAAAATCATGATTTTCAATAATTAAAAACCCTAGGTTATAAAATTTACAAAATCTGAAAATTATGACACTTATAAAATCTGAAATTATAAAGTTTAATCATCAAAATACAATTTAATACTAATTAAATTAATTTCAAACAATAAAATCAAAACCCATAAATCAATAATTATAATTACACAAATTAATAAAACTAAGGAGAAAGAAAATAAGACTAACCTTTTTGTGTGGGAATTTTTTTGGGGTTTCATGGGGTATTAATAGGAGAGAATTGTAGTATAAATAAGAATATTGGGCCTCATAAAAATAATGGGTCGATAAAGTAAACAAATGGGTTAGGCTTGTGTGATTGGACATAAATTATAGAATAAAGGTGCATAAAATAATTTGTTCAAATAAATTTTGACCCAAATTAATAATTTGAAAATTTTGAAATTAAATTATGAAAAATAACAAATAAATATTATAAATAAAATAAATTTTCATTTATAAAATATTTAAAAATACGGGGGATTACAATAATAATTTATTCACTCACAATATTATATTACTTTCCTAAAATTTTGTGCAATCCAAAGTGATGCAAATAATTAAAAAAAATACTAAAAAAAAAACCCCGGAGGGAATATTATATAATATTAGAATTTAGTAAAAATATTATTGAGACTTTGATAAATTTTGCTAATTGTGTAAAAAAAAAATACTTGGTCTTGTGTGGACCCGGTCTACAATAAATTATTGTAGACTCAAAATTTGACACTTTCAAATAATATAATCACATTCTGGATGATATAATCACTTTTTTAGATGATATAATTATCTTTTTGTGAGTCATATTTTGAATTATATAATCTCGTATTAAACCATTTAATGAGATTATATAATTATCTTTAGGATGATAAAATTTAAAAATTATGTTTTGAAATGATGTAATTTACTATTTGATACTTTTTATAATGATAAATTCACTTTTTGAGTTATACATTTATATAACAGTTTCAAAATGATATAATCACTTTTTTAATAATATAATCACATCTCGTATGATATAATTACATTCGTAAGGTATACAAGAAGGTTGGGTCTACAATAAGGATTTGTTCTCTTCCGTTGAAATTCAGTTCAGTTCAGTTCTCTTCCATTGAAATTCAGTTCAGTTCTCTTCCGTTGAAATTCAGTTCAGTTCAGCTCAGTTCAGTTCTCTTCCGTTGAAATTCAGTTCAGTTCAGCTCAGTTCAGTTCAGTCAGTTCAGTTGAATTCAGTTCAGCTCTTAATTTACGTCTAATGATATTGCTAATGATATAAAGCCAAATTTCATTCTTTTAAGCTCTTATTACAACGACGATGACGACAACAACAACAACAACAACAACAACAACAACAACAACAACAACAACAACAACAACAACAACAATAATAATAATAATAATAACAATAATAATAATAATAATAATAATCAATAAGTAATAAATAATAATAATAATAATCATCAATAAATAATAATAATAACAATAATAATTGAAATAATAATACTAATAATGATAATCAATAAATAATGATAATAATCATCAATAAATAATAATAATAATAATAACAATAATAATAATAATACTAAAAATAATCAATAAATAATCAATAAATAATAATAATAATAATAAACAAAATTAATAATAATAATAATAATATGTACATTTGTATATACACATATGTATAGTAATAAATAATCAATAAATAATCAAAGATCACTAATCCGTAGTTAGAAATCACTAATTAATAAGTTCAGTTCACTTAATCGGAACATGAAGTTATTGTAGACCGGGTCTATTATAGTCTTTGTATTTTTTTAATATTTTACTCGTATTTGTATTTTGTTTTTGAAAATTAATGGCTTAAATGTCCTGAATTTCGGATTTTATCATTAAAAAAAAAAACATTAGTGACGTGGACTTCATAGTTGTCCTTTGATTTTGCCCATTGACATTCCATTTGACGGGTGTATTAACGTCGTGTTTTCGATGTTCTTCTTTGTGCAAACTTAATGGAAAGCAGGAGAGAGAAACTAAAATTCAGATGAACAAATTATTCGAAATTCCTCTCTCTGTTTGACCATCAATAAAATTCAGCTCATACATTGGACCCTGCTACCGATAATTTTTAGGTCAGTTGTTCGATCCTTGGGTTTGGTTTACTTGATCATTTGCCAAACTAATACTGTAGTTTGTAATTAAGTTTTTAATGTGTTTAGGGTTCTTGATTTATTGATACCCGATTTGGGTTTCAGGGAATTAGCGTTATTTCAGGTCGTTATTAATTGTAAGGGATTTAGTCGATTTTCACTATTTGGTTTGGGTTATGATTAATTTTGACTTTTTTTTTTGGTTTTTCTTGCTTTTCATGAAATGCTTGTTTAACAAAAACTACATTTGAATTGGGAGAAATTGGTGAAAAACTGGTTTGATTTGGATTTGTAATTGTTATCAATCTACTTGTTTGGAATTTGGATGATATCATATCTTCTTTTTTTAATTCTCTGTACTGAATGCAGTTGTACTATTCAATTCAGAGTGGTATACTGGAATTAAAATTTGATATTTATATTATTAGTGTTGTCTTTTATGCATCCTTATTTTGTTAATTTGCCATGTTTTATAGCTTCCATGATGATTGATCAAAGTTATATATCCTGTATTACTTTCTAATGCCCAAAACTGAAGAAGACGGAAGTTACTTCCTGGTTAACGAGATCAACTGGTGTGGAAAACGGGATGTTTAATGGTACCACATGACTTTACAATATTAATTCCAATAGCCAGGTGAAAAGACGAGTACTTTGTTAATATAGGATATCAACTTGGAATTTTTTGTAAAAGGTGGTAAGAGTAAAAAACCGAAAAAGTAAAATCTTATTTGAGAGTACAAGCTTAAAAATGGAAGACATTAATGGCAAGAATGCTAGAGAAGATGTTGAAGAAAGGTATCTTCCAGATGAACTCATTACTCAACACATTCTTCCATGGCTTCCCATCAAACCCTTAACTCAATGTAAGTTAGTTTCAAAGGAATGGAATTCAACCATTTCACAACCTAATTATATCCTTAATCACTTCAATAAATCTATATTTAGTGATCCTTTTACCCCTGTTGAATCTCTCTTTATTCAATCTGGTGGTTCTTTTTACCTTTACCCTTGTCCTAATCTTTATCATGATGATGAAAATGTTGATAATGATGAAGTTGCTCAAGACAATTTGGTTTATTTGAATGTTGATTTTGAATATGAAAATACAGTAACAGAGGTTGATGAGATTAAATTGGTTGGATCTTCAAACGGGTTGGTTTGCTTAGGTGGAAGAATTGGAAAATACTTCTGTTTATATAACCCTAATACTAACCAATCCCACAAATGCTACCCTGCTGACTTTGATTATTGGAAATCTATTAGGCCAATACCCCCAACTAGTTGGGGTTTTGGGTATGTATCATCTATTGATGACTATAAAGTAGTCAGGATAATTGCATATCGCAATGGAGAAGTTGCCATAGTTCATGTTTATTCACTTAGGTCCAATATTTGGTCGAAAATTGAAAGTTGTATAGAGGTTGGTGATATGATTATAGGACGAGCAAAATTAGTTAATGAGACTTTGTATTGGAGTATGTGTAGTGGTCGAACCATTGCCTTCGATTTGGCCCGGGAGACATTTGAGTACTACCCTCATTTGGGAATCATTCCTCCATTTAGCAATGCGTTATGTGTCATGGGAGGGTGTTTATCCAAGTACAGTTCAAACTATCAAAATGATATGTTTCTTGAGATTATAAAACAGTCTGGAAGGATGATTGCCGTTCGTTTTTCGTGCAACCTTGGGAATTTTGAGCAGTTGATTGGGTTCACAAAGACTGGCGAAGTCTTTTTTACTCGTTCTAAGCCTGGGACGCTTGGCTTGCTTGATCGATGTTCAAAGGAAACACTTGCAACGTTTGGTGATCAAATGTTTCTTGTTGAGAGTTATGTTCCTACCCAAAGTTCACCTCATCCTGCAGCTGAGGTGCCTAATGAACCTGCTGAGGTACCTTTTCTATTCTGTTTGTTTTAGTTTCTTTCTTTTTTGAATATGTGAGGCTCCCTTCTCATCTTTGTGATGAATAGGCTATTTTACCTTGTATTTTATTTAATAATTTATAATTGTTTGTGATAGAAATGCTCAAACTAGTCCTATACAAATGTGCATTGTGAAGATAGATGCTCCTATGGCATCACCTCATTTAAAATTTTGGATATCTATATAATAGCAAGGAATGTATTCGTTTGATCAAATTAACAAAAATATTTGGCAGACGTTATTTTTTTTTTTTTTTGGTTTAATGACTTTTAATGCATATGATTTCTTCTTGCAAAGGGTCATATAAACTGGTGGAACAAAAATTAAGCTACAGAACTACTATGTACTTAGATTGTTCATAATTACATATCCTTTTGAATCCGTCTATTGATCATCTTTTTTTAAAAAAAGGGATTTGGCCGGTATATCAACAGGAGAATCTTTCTGATCCGGACGACTTTATTATAGTGGGAGATGGATGACTTTGATATACTAGAAGATCCGGACAACATCATTATACTAGAAGATTTCCAGCCGGAGAATCCTCCTGGTGTGGACGACCTTGATATACTAGAAGATGCCATCCTCTTGTAATCTAGTTTAATCAGAGATGAAGTTATATATCTAGGCAAGTGAAGGAAGCTCAAGGAGCGTGATGATGATGGCATGAACTAATTTTGATGGAAGAAAGTATGGTGCTAAGATGCAAAATTCAGATTTATGCTACCTCTGTTTTTGTTTGTTTATTAGTCTATATGTAACACTTTTGTTATGCCATGATCCATGAACTGCTAAATGCTAATGCTAATGCTACAACTTGTAACTTTCTGTGACTTTTGCTATGTCGTTGGACTCAAATGCTCTTTTCTATGCTAGTATGCTATGGATATTGTGATCAATGAATTACGAGTAATCGAGTACTATTGGTTCATGCGCTGGTCAAATGCCAAGAGGTCATGAATATCTGGTATGTTTCTCCTCTTAAACTTTATGTTAGATTTTGTGATGTCAGCTCTTGTAAGGACTGGTGCTTGTCGTTGGAAAAAATACATGTGGAGTATTTTCTGGTCTCCTGTGGGGATTATGGTTGAAGATAAATGCGTGGGGTTTTTGGAAAAAATAAATAAATTATTTAATTTAAATTAAATTAAATTTAAAAAAAAAACGAGTATTGGACATCGAGGTGATTTAAAAGGCCGTGAGTGTAGTAGGGGAATATGAAAAACCAAATGAGAATACCCCTCTTGAGAGTTGAGGCTCATGGTAATGCTATAACCTCACATACTTGGAAGCCACCTTTGATAGCAACTTCAAGGTCAACTCGGATGCTGCTGTTTATGGTGATGGAAAGGTTGGTTTAGGAGGAGTTATGAGGGATAGCGTGGTGATGTGTTGGCTGCAACTTGCGTGGTAATGCAGTGAGGAAATGATGCAGGAATTTGCCGAAGCACTGGTAGCAAGACATGCGCTAGCTGTGGAGGCTGGTCTTACTCGAATTGAACTCCAAACAGATAAGCTGAAGCTCGTCAAGCATCTGGATCAAGGAAAAAAGTAGATCAGTGCTTTTGGTTTGCTTGTTACTGACAATGTGACATTCTTGAAATTGCAAAAAGTTGTACTTTTATTAAGTTCAGCCATATTGGATTATTGGTAGGAAGAGGAACAAGTTTGCTCATTGCCTTGCTCACCTTAGCTGGCATGGGGAGTTAAGGGTGTGGATTGAGGAAGTTCCTCATGAAGCACTGAACTTTGTAACCCGCAGCTTTTGAGTATTTTTATCTCCTTTTTTCTTGACAAAAGACAAGACAAAAAAAAAAGGAAAAAAAAAAAAGTGGAATTAATGTGTTCTTGCACATCAAATTAAAGATTATGTAACTTCGGCTTAGGTTGGGTTCTTTTAGGTCTTTCCTATTTTTGTCACATGTTAGGGGTGCCGATTGAGGCTATAGATTCAAACACGGTTCTATAAGAAACGTTAAGGAGCACGAGTTGAACAAGCTCTAACTTAGGAGTGCATTTTCGGTTTGGATTTAGGGCAAATTCGATCCGATCCAAAATAATACTCCCTCTGTCCCTATTTGATAGTCCCTTTTGGGCAATTTTCACGGGAATTAATAAACATAAATAAGAAGTAGCAAAAGTACATTGAAAAGGTAAAATTACATTGGGTATGCAAAAAAGTAGAGTGAGAAAGTAATTAAACCCGGGGCATTGCTTATGCCATTAACTAGTTTTTACTTATTTCATAAAAAAATATAAGGAATTTTTGTAAATAACCACCCAAAAAATATACCCTTTATTGAATTAACCACCCATTTTTTTGGAAATTTAAAAATACCGCCCATTTAGAGCTATCAATTCGAGTAAACAGGTTGGGTTAGGGTCGGGTAAGAGTGGGTCGGGTCAACTTGGGTCGGGTCTATTCAGATTAATTCCATAACCTATGCAAGTCGGGTTTGGGTTGAGCCAAGCTTGAGTCAGGTCACGTCGGGTCATACTTCTTATTGGGTAAAAAACAGGTCAGGTTACATTAGGGCCGGGTGAACAATAGGTCGGGTTTAATTTAGGTAATCACGGGTTAAAACGGGTTACGGTGATTCTCGGGTTCAAGTCGAGTTCGGTTCAAGTCAATAATTTGCGAGTTAGAATCAGGTCGAGTCAATCTCGGGTTTGATTCGAGTTCGGTTCAAGTCAATAATTTGCGGATTATAATCAGGTCGGGTCATTTTCAAGTCGAGTCATTATCGAGTTCAAGTCGGGTTCGGTTCAAGTCAATAATTTGCGGGTTATAATCAGGTTGGGTCATTTCCAAGTCGGGTCATTCTCGAATTCAAGTCGGGTTATGTTCAAGTCAATAATTTGCAAGTTACAATCAAGTCAGGTCATTTCCAAGTCAGGTCATATTCAGGTTCAACTAACTATATATAGATAATTATCATTTTTATCAAGCTAATTATTTCCTTTTACTATAATATCTATGGCAATATACTAGGGAACTATAGTCTATAATTTAGGAAGATAATTATCTCCTTTGACCATACAACAAATATATACTACATTTAACTCTTAAATTTGAGGATGATGCTCCTTTCTTTTACTGGCCTGGACCGACTTGGTCTCCCATGACAAAATGCTTTGACCAACAATAATAAGGTGGACTAAATTGCATTTAAGGTGATTTGAAATCGGGTCAGGAACAATTTGGGTTGAATTTAGATCGGGTCAATAACAAGTCGTGTTAATTTCAAGTCGGGTTAGTAACATATCGGGTTGAATATTTTGGTTGGGTAAGTAATAGGTATGGTAAAATTCGGGTCAGTTCAATAACAAGTCGGGTTGAATTTGGGTCAAGTCAATAACAAGTCGGGTTGATTTTCGGTCGGGTTTAATTTGTAACAGGTTGGGTTAAATTTGGGTCGGGTTAGGAACGGGTCGGGTTGAATTCAGGTCAGGTTAGCAACAAGTCGGGTTAAATACGGGTTTTGACGGGTTAAAACGATTTTGGGTCAATTTCGCTTCAAGCCGGGTTCGGTGCAAGTTAATTAAATTGGCCGTTGTAAACTTGTAAATTGGTGCAAGTTGTAAACCGGTAAATTGGCAGTTTAAAAGCAAATTGAATGGTTCCACACACCCAATTGGACTCCCAGAGGGTATTAGTGACCATGGTAAACATTTTGGAAATTTTTATTTGCGAGCGAAAAAAAAATAAAAAAATCTCAAAATTGAAGGCTAATATCCACGTTTTTTGAGAAATTTTGGAGGTTTCGGGGCTCAATGTAGAAAAGTATTAATATTTTAGGGGATACACTCGGGGTCATATAATGCCGTTTGAAACCATATATGATCATTATATGTTGTCATAAATGTTCGTAGTAGGCTTGAGTTAATGAAATCCGTACAAGTTGTAAACCGGGTAATTAAATTGGTCGTTTAAAGGCAAATTGGGCGGTTACACCAACCCAATTGGACTTACGGAGGATATTAGGGACCATGGTAAAATTTCGGCAATTTTTATTTTCGGGCGAAAAAAAGTCAAAAAATTCCAAAATTGAAGACAAATATCTACGCTTTTTGAGAAATTTTGGAGGTTTCGGGGCTCGGTGTCGAAAAGTCTTGAGATTCTAAGGAATACATATCGGGGTCATTTAATGCCGTTTGGAACCATATATAATCATTATTTGTTGTCATAAATGTTCGTGGTAGGGTTGAGTTAATGAAATCGGTGCAAGTTGAAAACCGGTAAATTGGCGTTTAAAGACAAATTGGATGGTTCCACCCACCCAATGGGACTCTCGGACGGTATTAGGGACTATGGTAAACATTTCGACAATTTTTATTTTCGGGCGAAAAAAAAAGTCAAAAATTTCAAAATTGAAGGCTAATATCCATACTTTTTGAGAAAATTTGGAGGATTCGAGGCTCGGTGTCGAAAAGTCTTGAAATTCTAAGGAATACATCTCGGGGTCATTTAATACCGTTTGGAACCATATATTAGGGCTTAGCAAAACTACCGGAAAAACCGGAAGCCCAAAAAAACCCGATCCGTAACCGTTCCAAAAATTAGGGTACCCTATCCGATAACCATACGGTTCGGTACCCGTTCCGATAATATATTATCGGGTATGGTTATTGGGTATTATTTTAAAATTAACGGTTACCCGATCTGATCTGATAAGCATATTTTTACTTTTTTTCCTACATAAATCTATATTTTAAAAATCTAAACTCTTACTTTACTTCATAATTACCTTATTATACCGATGATTAGTAATATTATATTATTAATAATTTAGTCAAAATCATATGATATAGTTGTTAATTAATGGAAAATTATATCATAATAATTAAGTTTAATTATCATTATTGGATATCTTATTGGGCACCCGATAACCGATCCGAAAATCCAAGTATCCGAAGTCTGAGTACCCGAACTTATCAATTCGGGTTATGGATATCACTTTAAGGGATTTTGGTTATCGGGTACTTGAACTACCCGTCCCATGCTCACCCCTTCCATATATGATCATTATATGTTATCATAAATGTTCGTGTTAGGATTGAGTTAATGAAATCGGTGCATTGATAAATCGGTAAATTGGCCATTTAGACGCAAATTGGATGATCGACCCACCCAATTGGAATCCCGGAGCATATTAGTGACCATGGTAAACATTTCGGAAATTTTTATTTTCGGGCGAAAAAAAGTAAAAAAAATTACAAAATTAAAGACTAATACCAACAATTTTTGAGAAATTTTAAACCTTTCGAGGCCTGGTGTCGAAAAGTCTTGAAATTTTAGGGGATACATCTCGGGGTCATATAATGTTTTTTGGAACCATATATGATCATTATTTGTTGTCATAAATGTTCGTGGTAGGCTTGAGTTAATGTAATCGATGTAAGTTGTAAACCAGTAAATCGACCGTTTAAAGGCGAATTGGATGGTTCCACCCACCCAGTAGGACTCCTAGAGGGTATTAGGGACCATGGTAAAAATTTCGGCAATTTTTATTTCCGGAAAAAAAAAAGTCAAAAAATTCCAAAATTGAAGGCTAATATCCACACTTTTTGAGAAATTTTGGAGGTTTCAGGACCCGGTGCCGAAAAGTTTTGAAATTGTAGGGGATATATCCTAGGGACATATAATGCCGTTTAGAACCATACATGATCATTATTTGTTGTTATAAATGTTCGTGGTAGGCTTGAGTTAATGAAATCGGTGCAAGTTGTAAACCGAAAAATTGGTCGTTTAATGGCAAATTGGATGGTTCCACCCACCCAATTGGAATCCCAGAGGGTATTAAGGACTATGGTAAATATTTTGGAAATTTTTATTTACAGGCAAAAAAAATTAAAAA